GATCTGAGCAGAAGGCAGATGCTTAACCCACTGAGCCACCCAGGCACCCTTTGATTGCTATTTATGAGCTGCAAAGGGACCCTCACCCCAGATTGTTCATCTGTAAAAAGGGGATGAAAATGCGATTGCCTCGTAATAATAGCTGTGATTACTTAGCAATAAAGGACAAATACTCCTAACTGAAAATAAAGCTGCCACAACAATACGTATGTGCCTGCTTGTGCGTGTGCTGAGCTCCTACACATTTCAGCATGTGTGCATCTGCGTGTACCGCCATTTCCTGTAGCCAAGAGCTCCAACCACAGTGCAGCTGGGAAATGTGACCATCAATAAGGAAAATGGCTGCCTTGGGCAAGATGGATCTTGGCATGGTTTAAGCTGCAGTCTTGTCCCGCACTATCCACCAGATGGCGCGCGAGGATCACAAATGGGCTGAGTCACACATTTCTGGTCTGGCTGGGAGTCTTTGGGGGTTGGTGACCCACTGTGGGGTCACCAGCCTCTTTGAAAATTAGTGAGCATAATGGTACTGTTTCCCTTTTGTCACCCTCACCCAGCCCGCCTAGGGGAGAAGCTCCTGAGAGAGCTGGGCCCCTGTGGGGCTGCCTGTGTTCTTAAGTCTTCTGAGCACCAGGGCCTGGGGAGAAAACCAGATGGCTTGAGGCTTTTTAGGCAGGACAGACAGACTGGGACTGAGAAGGCTTGGAGAAAAGAAAGATGGCAGTGGGAGGACGGGGACAGGAATGCCACTGTTTGTTTCCAGCTAGAAGACTGTCTTTTAAAACCTCATTGAAGTCATCATGTGTTCTCAGAGTCTTTGTCAAGTGGGAAAGGAGCAGTGGTACTGGGATTCTCCCAAAGACGAGAAAGACTGGTCTCCGTGTAATGGGGGCCATGCTGGGCTCTTCTCTTCCCCATCTTCTGGAGGAGGAGCCCACTATGGCCACAGGAGGTAACATCAGCAGGCAGTGGGTAAAGAAGGACTGGTCCCAAAGTACTTGCTCCATAAGGATATTTATTCTTCCTCAGCACCTTGGCTGGTTCTGAAGAGAAGAATGTGGCTGCCAAGGTGGGAGAGACCTTGCAGGAGAAGCCCACAGCCCTGAGAGGTGGCCAGGGAGACCCAGCCGTACCCTCCCAGCAGCCTGCAGCCCCCAGGACCCCAGAGCCACAGAGCAGCCCCAGAAGACCTGAGCAGCTTGTGGAACTGAACACCCAGGCCAGCAGGTAAGGGTTATGCTGTGCTGGGCCCCTGCTACAGCCCAGGTTTTTTTGATGGGCCACCATGCAGAACAAACCATAACATGTTAGGCAAATCTGTTACTCTCTGCAGCTGTGAGTGGCTAGGAGGTAGTGGGAAGGTGACCAGCAATGAATGCCCCAGGGGTAGGTCTTCATGGGCTTCAGTTTGGAGCTCTAGCATCCAGTCTGTTAGACGAAGCCTGGAACAGAGAAAGTGCACAGAGTATCATATTTTCTGGCAGCCTTTTGGAGCATGAAAACCTGGGTCAGGAGAGGATATGGAATGCCTTTGCCATTAACGGAGATGGAAGGTCTCTGAGGAAGGTGTGTCCTGGTGTGGATGGGAGCTCCCCAGAGATAAATGATGTTGGATGAACTCTTCCACTGCCACCACTGCCAGCCAGGGTGGCCTTGCATGGCAACATTTGGGTGGTCCCTTTGCTCTCTGGAGATCTTTCCCCAAGGTGGCCATGAGTTTAGAAATAACCAAGAGCTATGGGCCTAGAGACAGTATATAAGGATCTCCTGTGAGCCAGTTGTAGGTAGCAGCCACATACACATTGAACAAGAAGGCAAGGGAGCACATGGTGCACCAACAAATAAACACTATAGCAATAATACCGTAATGATAACCACTAGCATTTGCTGTGTACTAAAAATGAATTAGAAACTGTTCTTGTGCTTTGTGTGTACTCACTTGATTCTCACACCAACCATATGGGGGGGTACTATTATTATCTCAGATCTACAGAACAGAAATGGAAGCAGAGGAAGGTTGAACAGCTTGCCAATAGTCATTCAGCCAGGTAGTGGCCTAACAGGGATTAGAAAGCAGAGTCCAGAGCATGTACTACTTATCACTGTGCTGTATCTGTTGCCTCTCCATTTGTGATAAGCCCAGAAAAGAAGGAAACTGGGTCCTCTAATGGAGAGAGGCCGGGACAGGGGGTATTGTAGCTAGGATGGTCAGGGAAAGCTTTTCTGCGAAGAAGGGGACAGTGCAGTTGAAACCTGAAGCACAAGGAGCCGCCAGACTGGAAGAGAACCTGGGAAGACACAAGTGGGCAGCATGTACAAAGACCAAGATGGGAGAGGGAGTTGAGGAGAAGAGATTGAAAGAAGGGCTCTGTGGTTGAAGGGTAGGAAGTGAGGTGAGGAGGGGGAAGGAGACCAGGTGGGCAGGGCCAGGGCTGGATCTTGTAGACTAGAAGGAGTAGGCTATGGGAGGGAGATGGGATGTTACCTGACCAGGGACAGGAGCCCTCCTGGTGGAGGTCTGTCATTGCTCACGTTGCAGTCCTAGAAGGATCCCCATGGGATATTTTCTTACCTTGCCCCCTCAGTTCTACTGTCCCTTCAACTCTTGTGCTGGGTGTGGACCAGAATGCCAGACACTTGCTAGTTGTTCCTTCCTCTTGCAGTCATTTTCTTCTCACTCTCTGGCTTTGTATTTTATCCCCTATCATCTGTCTTTCCAGGTTCCTGTGGGGCCTCCCCTCCCAGCTAGTCCATCTCCTCCAGTTTCTATGGTTCATTCCTATATCATAAGGTGACATAGGAATAGGCACAGGATGACTGGGCACATGGAAACAGGGTACTTCACCCAGCCTCGGGTGAGAGAGCAGGTACTCCAGAAGGGCTTCCCAGAGGAGAAGGTGGTGTTATGTGCAAAGATATGAGAAAGTCAGTCAGTATGCCTAGAGATTCAGGTATATATGACAAAGTTTGAGAAGATGAGACTGGGGAGCTAGGCAAATGCAAGATCATGATTGTTTTCCCCCCTCCCCACTCTTAAACTAGTTGTGTTCTTGGGCACTGGATTCTCTAGCAAGGGAGGGATGCCCCAGAGACCGGGCCAGGTGGAAGCAGCCACATTCAGAGGTTGGTCTGAGCAGCAACATGTTGGAAAGAAGCCAAATTCAGCCCAGGACAGTATGTGCCCATAGAGCTGTCCCAAGGCCACTAGAGAGTAGGTATATGTAAAGTGGATGGCACACAATGGGGGTGGGCAGTGGTGGTGCCCAACAGCATTCCCTGACCTACAGCGGGCAGAGTGAGAGCAAGTAAGGGCCTGGTCAGAGAAAAAACTTGTGAGCCAGCTAGGAGGTCAGATTCCAGGCCAACGGCTGTGTGTGCAGCCAAGTGGTGGATATTCAGAAAAACCGTCATACGTGTCAGTTTCTTGCCTCTGCTCATGTCAAATGCCTTCCAAAATGAGGTGCATCCAAGTCTCTTCTTTGGTGCTGCCTAAATTTATTTGTTCCTCTCTCCCTTGGTGTTCTTTTCTCCAGAGAGTTCTCTGGAGGATGAGGGGATAGAGTTGATCCTAGGAAGGGGCTGTCCCATCCAGCAAGGAGGTGAGCTGGACTGTGTCTGTCAAGGCCCTGGTAGCCCCCATGCTCTCCTCAGACCAAGTGAGTCACAGGCCAAGGCCTTTGGCTGTAGTGGGGAAGGATACTCTAAAATTAAAGTCTTACCACTGACTCACAGTGTTACCTGCTCACTTCACCTGGGTTTTCTTATCTGTAAAGTAAGTGGTTCCACTCACTGATCTCAAGAACCTTGTAAAACACAAGCTCAGTGATCTGCATGGGTTGTTTAAAAACATTGGCACATTTTTAAACTCCTTGAAGTGGCAGTCTCAAGAGTAGGCTCCCCAAACCCTGTTTGATGCTGGAAGATGTCAGCTCTCAATGTTTACACACTCACCCCTCCATTTACTTCCTTCAGAGTGAGAAACCCCTCGAGTTGTATAGTCACTGTTACCGTCGCTGCCTCTACTGAGCAGCCTCATGTTTACATCCCAGCCTCCCCAAGTGAATTGGACTCCAGTTCAATCAGGTAAGAAGAGACAACCTGGGAAGTGTTCTCTGGGCTATATCCTCCCTAGAGCTAAAGGACTTGATTTTTATCCCATGTCACTTCCCTGATGTTAGCTCTAGTACCACCCCCAACTCCCAGCATCCCATTGGTCAACGGGCCACATAGTGTAGCCCAAATCTCCCCAACATAAAGTCCTGTTTGTATGCCTGGACAGTCTTATCATATCCCCAGTGAGAAGCTAAGGTGGCACTTCCTGGTGCTCTGCCATCTGTAATACCCTGCTAATAATATCTTTTGAGGAACATGTGTGGGAAGGCCAGAGAAAGCCCTCTGATAACATCAAGCCAGGTTGATAAAGGCCAAATTCAGGGTCATGGTGAGCCCAACATGAGGCAGACTTCCAGTGTTGCCAGGGACCTATCTAGGACTGAGAAGGGAAAGATTAGATTGTTGGTGGAGATTCACACAGAGTGGCAAGGACCAACAGTCTATGTCTGCAGCTTGGAGGCTATCCTGGGCCAGATAAAAGGGAAAGAAAATGCAGTCAGAGAGGATGGAAAGTTCACTGTACTGGAGTCTGGGGAGGTGGGGGACAAGCCTCCCATAGCGTAGAGATCTGCGTGAAGAAGGAAAGCATATTGACATTGGCTCCAGGGAGCCTTTTTCTAGGGTTCTCAAATCTGCACATAGCAGGCTTCAATTTCAGCCCAGTCCACGGTGTGCTCAGTGGGCAGCAGCTCCTGTTTGCCATTTTCCTTGCCTGGTGGTAGCTAGAGCCCATCAGCACTTCTACTCCCGGGATTTACCATGAGTTCCTTTACTTCCTTCAAACCATGTGGGAACCCTTCTAGCCCTGGACCCCTCCTTTGGGCCAGGCCCAGTCCCCTGGAATCTTTCAGTATACCTCTTCCTGTTCTACTGTGCTCCTTCTACAGCAAAGGGATTCTCTTTGTGAAGGAATACATGAATGCTAGTGAGGTATCCTCCGGGAAGCCAGTGTCTTCATGCTACAGCAGGTAAGAGCACGTCCCAGATCCTTCCATGATCCTGGATCCCCAGTACCTCATCTGGGGCTTGGCCCAGAGTTGTTTCTGTATAATCATTTATTGAATGGGTGAATGATGTAATTGCCCACAGACATGATTTATGAATTTCAAGCTGTTCTACCTAAGTCAGTGCTTTTGTGTTCCCCCTCTATTAATTCATCCTACACCCCACTTCCAGTGCCATCCCCTCCTGCCTAGCTTTGTTTGTTGGTGGACAAGCTTTCTTTAGTAAAATTCTGAGAGCATTGCTCTTTACAGAGCTGACAAGGCCCTTAGGGACTTTTTACCTAGTTAATTCCATCATGTTTCAGAGCACAGGGCTCCTCTCTTTTCAGCATGCCAGGGTGCCTCATGTTTGACTGCACACATTGAACACACGTTTGACTGCAGATCCTGATATATGCGTAACTTTTCAGTCATCATCTCTTCATCTGGTTGCTTTGTGATGCCACGTGGAAAGATACCTTCATGCCACCTCAGTTAAAAAGTAATGCGCACCAAGACAGCATTCCTCTGGGAATGTTTTTTTATGACACATCATCTCACCGCTAGGATGAGGATTTTAGTAACAGAGAGGAACACCCTGGCCTTACTTCAGGATTGGGCCTCTGGGGATTCTGAACCAGCTTTCACTGGTACTGTGGAATAATGACCATAGGTGTCAAGTTCAAGCCCCAGCTTGACCCCATTGGTTGGGTCATTTTTGATGTTCAGTCTTCCTGAGCCTTAGTTTCTTCATCTGTAATTCCTTAGGGTAGTTTTTGTCAATAACTTTATTGAGATACAACTCACATATCATAAAATTCACTCTTTAAAGTATATAATTCAGTGATGTTTAGTACATTCACCATGTTTGCAACCATCATCACCATCCAATTCCAGAACTTTTTCACCACCCTAAAAGGAAACCCCATACCCATTAGCAACCCCCCATACCACCAGCCATAGCCCCTGGCCACCACTGATCTATTTTCCGTTTCTATGGCTTTTTTTTTTTTTTCAGGGAGCTGTCCTTGCCATCTAGCATTTGTGTCTATGAGTGTCACTTGATTGTACTCTATCTCCTGGTTTTTCTCCTCCCATTCCCACCACTCTGTTAAGTTTAATTCTTACACAGTCTGACAATTAAATGTATTTTAAAATTGAATTTTACATTCAGTTAAGATGTTATATCTTGTGAAAAAAGTGGTAGAGTTTCTTTATTGGAGGATTGTACAGTCTAGTGTGATTTCTCCTTTTGCTTTACCTTCCAGGAAGCTTAGAGATAAACTTAATGCTCAGAAAAAAAACCAGAACCTGGTCAGTAGCACTAACGTGTGTCCCATGGCTTGTAGATAGTCACATTTTCCTGGCAATAGGATTTTATTTTTTTAACCATTTGTATTCATCATCAAAAGTCATACTACTGAAAAATGAAGATACAAAAATTTTAAAAAAACTTCACCTCAATCCCCCCTGTAACTCAAGCACAGGTAATATGTTAGAATGTTTCCTTCTTTTATTTGTTCCCATTCCTAATGTCTGATTTCTGCTGTGTGGGCTCCTGGTGACTGTCACATTGTAACGCAGACACGTATGTGGGGAGAAAAGCCCTGATCCCATCCTACTGATCAGTGAATCTTATCTTCCTCAGCATGGCAGGTATTCTTTGCCCCCCATTGGAAGGGCTCTTCTCCAAGAGAATTATGCCTCTCTGGCATGAAGTTCAAAGCTTCCCCTGCTACTCAGCATAACAGATGATGGTGGGTCATGCAGAATCGTGTCTCAGCTTGTGGCCACAAGGTTAATAATATTAGCAAAGCATTTCCACTCATGACCGTGGTAGTCATCTTGCTTCCATCTTCTGCCCTCCTCTTCCCCACCGCACTCTCTGCAGTATTAGATGCACTGAGGACCCATGTGACATGGAGAAGAAACCTGCATGTGACAGCTCTTTGTACTCTAAGAGGTAAGTCTACTATCTTACCAGGGAGCTCTCAGGTCTATAGAGAAGAAACAGCTGAGGGACATTTCCACACAAAGTCCATTTGCTTTTGTCTTATGCTTGGCTGCTTCTGATCCACTTGCAGATCTGTCACACCACTACTTGGATGATGCTTCCCTTATTGGGATGTTACACTTGTGGCAACCTTTGAACCCAGCTAAGACCAGAAGGCAAACTCAAAGGGCTGCTAAGAAGGGAAATGGTGGTGGCTGAAAGCCCAGGGAGCTCATATCAGCAGGAGAGGCCTTGGGATTAGAATGTAAATGATCACTTAATAAACCTGCACATATGACCAGAAAGGAAAAAAAAACTAAACTACAAAAGAGAGTGGTGGATGGAAAGTTAAGAAAAATGGGCTGCGATCATCAAGAAGCCAGAGAGAGCCATTCATTTGAATTGAATGAGGCTACCATTCAGCAGTTTCAAAAGCTGTCACTACATGACAGTGGTCACAGGATGGTCTTAATGATAAAGAAGTCCTATTTTAAAATTCTTGAAACAGAAGAGAAAGGAGTCTTAGAGATGGAGTTCACTCAGGTCACAGTGCAAGAAACAAGCCTGGAAAGAGTAAATAATATGTCTTATGTTACACAATGAGTTAGTGGCAGAGCCAGGACTAAACCCCGGGTCCCTGACTACTCCTAGGTCAGGGATGTTTCTACTGTATTATCTGACTAACTGTGAGCTGAAACTGGTGATGGTAAAATACATGGGGGAGGGGGGAACAGGGCTTTGATGAAGGCAGGAGTCTTTAGCTACACTGTCAAGAGACTGAGCCCTGGGCCATCAGCATGATGGAGGGACCAAACCTGAGATGCTCACAGTAATTCTGAGCCCTTGAAGGGAGGCGACTATGTGGCTTCAGGTTGGTAGCACCACCCCTAGCTCCTGTCAAAAGCATCCTCAAATCTCTGGAAGAAAGCACTCACAATTTACACCCGAAGGATCAGGGCAGGCCGGCACTTGCAGCAGGTTCTCTCTGAGGAGGAAAAGCAGGGATGACTCTCAGGAACAAAGGCAGGGATCCTCAAAGTGGGGAGATACTCAGCCTAGAAGTTAGAATCTAGAACTTCAACATGAGGTCCCAGCAGGCTCTACAGCCATACTGTCTTTGTGATGGTCCTTGGAGTGTAGGGTCTGAGAGGCAAGGTTTACTGGTCCCAGGCATGAAGAGAAGGGTCATCAAGACAGGGGGCCAGGTAGGGCATGCAAGGGTATGTCTCCTGTAGAAGAAGACATGGGTCTTCCTGTTCTAGAGGGGGGTAGTACCCCCAATATGCTAGGCAAAGGGTCAGGGAGAGGCAGGCTGCCTGGAATAAGAATCATACCAGGAGGTCTTGTGGTCCTCATATGATTTGCAAGTAGGGTGAAGCTACATGACCAATTGCTGGAAATATCATGAGGGTCTACAGTGGGCTGAGACCCAGTCCAGCCCAGGGATATGCAACCAATTGCACACTACAGAAAAAGATGGCAGGCTGAGAATCTGGGCATCTAGGCCTGGCTGTGTCAAACCAGAAGGTCTGACTGCATCACATCAGTAGTCTGCATGTCAGCCTGACTGCCAAGTTCTTGTTTTTCATCTCACAGAACAAGTGGAAGGATCTGTACTTACTGCAACCAGGAGATCAGAGACTGTCCAAAGATTACTCTAGAGCATCTTGGCATCTGCTGCCATGACTACTGCTTTAAGGTAAGGAAGAACGGTGGTGCTGCTAACATGGTCCCGAGTTAGGGAGCCTCATGGATCAGAGTGTAAAGAAGGCTTGATCTCTGTGTGATTGTGCTCCATGTCAGAGGCTTGGCAGGACTGGGAGCTGAATGAGCAGAAGGCTTAGCCCAGGGCAGGCTTGGAAATCATTGGAGACCCAGACACCTGGGGACTCATGACTTCTCTTATTCAAGACTGTCTGCAGGAAGGCCTGCTGCAGATAGCTGGCCACTCTTGTCCTTTAGGTGTCCACTAGAGTGACAGGTATAAGAGTCATGAGGAATGCAGAGCTACACTCCTGTAGTAGCCTTCCCTTTTATTAGATTTTCATATCACCTTCTTTGGACCTTAAACATCACAACTAAAGTCCCACAGCCCTCCTATAACAGCAATGACTTACTTTGTGTATGACCCCAGGTTGAATACCCTGTGTGGACTTACCTCACTATATCCTCATGGTAACCTGCCACTGTGCCTATTTTATATATGAAGAAATAGAGGCTCAGAGAGCCTCAGTAACTTGCCCAAGCTCACCCAGCTAATAAGTAGTGGATTTAGGGCTCAAACCCAGGCCCATTTCTGAAACCTGGGCTCCTAACTACTATGTGATCATCCTACCTGGTAGTTTGTGTGAGTTTTTTTGTTTGAGGTTTGTCTCGGTTTTCTAACCCTTCTTTATTGTCTGCTTCAAAGTCCAGGATGTGCCATCAGCTCAGTGTCTGCTCAGGTGCACCCTCCACACTCCACCCATTTATGTTGCTTCATTTGCATGTTGACCTCTAGCTTGCTCTCTCTTTCAGTGTGGGATTTGCAGTAAACCAATGGGTGAGCTCCTGGATCAGATCTTCATTCACCGTGACACCATCCATTGTGGGAAATGCTATGAGAAGCTCTTCTAGGTGGGTGCCAAGTAGCCAGGAAACTTATTAGGGAGAAGAAATGTGCCCTGGTCTCCCCCTGAGTCTCAACCCAGGATACTGTTATCTCTCTTAAACTTTATGTTTAGGGAAGCCCTATGAGACTTTGAAGTTTTAGGTAGCACAGATAAAGACCCTCCCCCACAGACACTTCTAAGTTGCAGGGGTCATGGTCTCTTCCTGTCAAGAAACACCTTCCATGTACCACCTCAGGTGAGCCCTCCAGCTGTCTTGGGATGCTGGCCAGGCCTGTGTTGTTAGCCTCATTTGAGGACAAGCAAATAAAGACCTAAAAAGGAAAAGGGCCTGGGGAAACACCTAGCTAGTGGATGACAGAATCAGGATCTAACCCAGGACTTTGAATTCAAATCCAGGGCTCAAAACCAAGGTGTTCAATAAAACAAGATACAGGTGGGGGGCCAGTAGCAGGTAAAGGCCAGGATAAGGGGGCATGTGTGGGAGGGGATGGTGCCATCCTGGGGCTGGCCTGACCAGGAAGGGCTACTTGGGCACCTTTGGACTGCATTTTCAATACTGCTTGAAGACAGTTTTGCATGCTAAACACCAGCAGAATTGACCCCAGTGTCTGAACTGCATGGGGCCTGGTGCCCACAGGACACTGCCTTTCCAGATCTTGGCAGCCCCTCCTCCTTAGCACCTCCTCAGCTAGAAGCACAGAATAGAATATCTACCTTGAAGGCAGTGGGAATGGGTAGCAATCAGGCTCTCCACCAGCTACAAGCCTGTTCTGCCTTCTCTCTAGAAGACACATTAATCTGGACTATTACTCCTAATGCCTGGAAACATCAACCCCAAGAACCTCTGACTGATTATTGGATTGGATGTGTATTTCCAGTCTCATAGCTACTACTATTTTCTTTTAGTTCTTCCAGGCTGAGAAGAAGCTGATGACTCCTGGACAAGTTTGGCTGTCCCCAGTTGCCCCAAGTTGCTGGCTTCTCTTCCCTTACTTCATCCCTCCCCATTTGATTTCTTCATGCTTTGCCCCTCTCAAGCTGAACTGCTTACATCCAGTAGAGTATCTTAATGATGCTATGATAATTACTTGTGTTTGTAGCTTTTTATAACTTAGAAAGCACTTTATGTCCATGATCTTATTTCAGGCTCAAGAAAAAAGGATTGAACAAGAATTTAATCTTAGCTTTCCTAAGACAGGTTGGCCTCCTGATGAGTTTAGGTGGCCTGGTACAATAAGCAGGAGCATGGGTTTCAGTGTGTCTTGACTTTTGGGACAGAGAGCAAACCCACATTCTAAGTGTACCTTTGGGACTTGAAAGCGGGAGATGCCCTAAAGCTTCTGAGGAGCCAGGTTGAAGACTTGATGATGTCTGGTGGGTAAATTGCAGACATTGAATGCTAGGGATTGGCATAGGCTAATATTTGGATTGTATTTTAACTTTCCATACACGTTTAAAAGTAGTTAGTTGCTTTTGATTGAATTATATAGCAGATTTTAATTATCTTCTCTTTCCCACTTTTCACTATAATTGAGGTTGTTTTTTTTTTTCCTGCAGGCATGTGGGCATGTATTAGAAAGTCACACAGTTAAGTTTAAATTCTATAGGATGTGATTCTTAGGAGGCCACCGACCAAAGAAACATCTTTGTCTGCATTTTGATAGTTGATTAATACCTTTGCCCTCAATTCCCAATAGTTACAGGAAAATCTTCTAAAGTAGGTTTTAGGGTGTATAGACTCCAGCAGGATTAAAAGGGGAGAAAAGCAGTTAACATTTCTCAAGGCTTTACTACATATCAGGCATTATCACAAAGTGATGGCATTAATTCCTATACCAGTCCTATGCAGAGGATATTCTTGTCCCCAGTTTACAGATGAAGATCTTGAGGCTCAGAAGGTGGTCATTGCATTATGTGGAATCATTGCTGTCTCTCTCCAGAACCCGTGTTCTCTTCAGTAACAGTAACCACAATACCAAGCACTGTGCAGAGGTTACCTCATTTTACCAGGTAACACTGCCCTCCTCAGGCCTCCCCTGAGGCATACTCTTCTTACAAAGAGATGAAAGTATTAAATCATGCTTCTCCTCTGGGCATCCTAGGTCTCCCTATAAAGTACCACAAATGCCAACTGACCGCCTTCCCTCTCCTCCCCTTTCCATGAAAACAATTTTGAACTAAGATGCTCTTCTGAACTCAGATTTCTCTGCTGGGTAGAGATTTGACTCACAGACCTTCCCAAAGAAGAGCTTGTCAACCCAGGGAAACCCCAGGAGGCTAGCTGATCTGAGTCCAGGGCCTTCAGTAACTTATTTTTCGCTACAGACTGTCCCAAGATAGCAGCAACTACTGGGGTCCCAAGTACCTGGAACACAGAAACCTGTTGGCTGTCTAAACAGATTGCAGGCCCATCCATGCAGTCAGCTGATACTCTGCTCAGGTTTGACTAAGCTCCTCTGCCTTTGGGACCAGCATCACTGTGTAAGGTCCTTGAGAGAAAGAACAACCTGAGAGTTTTTCTGATGAAAAAACGAGGGTCTCTTCTCTTGATTTAATTAGAAAATGTCTCCATCTCTCTCCAGTTTGTGAGTCCTGTGCACACTGGGTGGTGGATTTGTCTTCCCACCAAATGATCAGAGAGGAACACTCCATTTATTTGCATAGATGTGCATTAGATTTGCTCTGGAGGGGAAAAGTGGTAAAATATGTCATGTACCAACACTAAATATGAGCTGGTATTCCTCAAGTATAGCCCACAGCATGGAACTCAGCACATGGGAGGCACGGATACATAGGTATCAATATCTGCTGAATAAATGAGTAAAAGGGAAAAAAAGGCTGCTCCTTAGTGTGGGAGGTACCAACCCTGAATCAGTATAGGCCCAGTTGATGGAGTACAGGATAAAGAGGTCCAAGATAGGCTGACTTCTCCACCTTTAAGATACACTCTGCCTTTAAAGGGGTTTTAGAATCAATATGCAAGAAATTGATAGAAAGCTTGTAAGATCAGTATTGATTTCTATTCAGAACAGCCTGTTTCATGTCTAAAAAGGCACAGAATTCTGCAGACTTAAGAGAGGTGGTTGCATTATACTTTTGCTTCTTTTTAATTGTCTAGTTTTTTAATCACATTTGCTTAATTCAGATTAATGTACACAATTATAATAAATGTTGAAGTATTAGATGTGTCAATGTTGTCAATGTTAAGGTTTCCTTTTTTAAAGTGTAATAACTTGGTGTATTTGCCTGTGTAATTTATTTTCTCCTATTACCTGAAGCCACTCTTTTTTTTTTAAAGATTTTATTTATTTATTTATTTATTTATTTATTTAAGAAAGAGAGAGTGATCAAGAGAGACAGCACAAGCTGGTGAGGAGGAGGCAGAGGGAGAAGGAAACTCCCCTCTGAGCAGGGAGCCCGATGTGGGGCTCCATCCCAGGACCCTGGGATCATGACCTGAGCTGAAGGCAGTTGCTTAACTGACTGAGCCACCCAGGTGCCCCTAAAGCCATTATTTACAAAAGCAAATAAATACTTCAAGAAGTATCAAATATAAAGAGAAGAAAATAGCAGAATCTAGAAATCATGCATGCAAGGAAGTGTGGAATTCTAGACCAGTCAGGTCTTAATAAAGAATATTTTATTCTTTTGGGTCCATCCTCCTCTTCATTATCATTGCAGACAGATGGCCATCTAGTCTTTATCACACACTTGCAATGACCAGCTCAGTCCCGTACAAGCTCATTCTGTCTGTGGACAGGTCCAGTTTCAGAAAATGCATTCTTCAGTTGAGTTAGAATCTGTTTCCCTTTAACTATTGCCCACTGGTAATCTATCATCCCTCTCCTATATGCCAACCCCTAAATTAGATGACGATGCTTATTGGGTTCTCCCTTCATCAACTCTTCTCCCATTTAAACACCCCTGGCCCCATCAACTCTTCTTTGACAGTAATTCTAAATATATGTATCTCTCAAACCCCTCTCAAAGGTGCTCCCACAGACACACATCCAAACCCATTCCTCCAGATGTGTACCAATAGTCAAGACTTTCATCTTGCTCACTAAGGCCAGTGCTACGGAATCTTGTTGAATTGTCATTCTGCCTGTCAGTGATCCATGCTTCTGAGTTTTGTATCCAAAAACACAATTTGCATGCTCTCTATGTCTTGATCCAGCCCAGAGACAAAAAAAAAAGTGATCAAAAAGTCAGTCTGGGGGCACCTGGGTGGCTCAGTCGGTTAAGCATCTGCCTTCGGCTCAGGTCACGATCCCAGGGTCCTGGAATCGAGCCCTGCATCGGGCTCTCTGCTCAGCGGGGAGCCTGCTTCTCCCTCTCCCTCTTCTGCTCCCCCTGCTTGTGTGCTCTCTCTCTCTGTCAAATAAATAAATAAAATCCTTAAAAAAAAAGTCGGTCCAAAAAAAAAGTCAGACATGACGGAGGAATCCTTCCACTACTGAGCAGGGACCTTGGAACCCAATGTTCAATAGCTATTGAAGTAGTGTCCCTGGATCTACTTTCTCACCCCAACCTCAGTCACCATCTTGGGTATATGAGTACATTTGGGAAAGGAAGAAGAGGTTTTACTACTTCAAAAGACAAGGACTACAGCAGTAGCTCCTAACCAGATATTTCTAGGACTCTGTTGGTGACAGTATAGACATAAATACCTAAAAGAAAAATACAGTAGTGTTATTTTGAAAAATCACTTAGCATACCAGGTTTCCACCAAGCAGGGATCAACCTGTACTTAGTCTGGAAACCTGGAAACTTAGTATTTAGTCTCCTCCCACATAGATCTACACTTGTGAGGGCCCCCAACCCATTCATCCTCATGTGGTGTCCTCTAAGGACTCTGCTTATGAATGTCTTCCACTTGTGAGTCTCCACAGAATGCATTCCTCTTGTGATGCTTCTTTGCACAATATTGTCTCCCTGTGAAGGTCCCAGGGAGGAAAGCTTTCACTAGGGGAACCAACACTGGTTCCATTGAATAGAAAGTTA